TCCATCCACCCATCCACCCATCCACCCATCCACCCATCCATCCATCCTTCCATCCATCCATCCATCCATCCATCCATCCATCCATCATCTAAACATCTCCATCTCATCTCCATCTCCATCTGCCCTTGAGCATTCACAAGCACACCACTGTGGCCCACCTGCTCCCGTGGAGATAACCCATGCATGTTCTGTGCTTTGTAAATAGTCTCCCTGAACCAGATGGCTCAGTCCCACCTTGGCTGTCAGTGCTGCCATAGACCCCTCTTTCTGCATTGGTGGCTCCGATCCCTGTTGTGTCCCAGGCTGGTTAGTCCATTTTGCATCCTCTGACACAGAGCCGTGAACCCTCCAGCTGCACTGAATCACCACCCTCATCTGAGCCTGAACCTTTATTTGGGATTTAAACTGCAAGTGGGAGCAAGAGACCCCCCTCTAGCCTTTGTGCTGACCTCTCTTATTGTCTTAGTCTGCTCAGGCTGCAGACTGACAAATATACAAATATACCAGAGACTGGGTGGCTTAAAAAAAACTTTGATTTCTCACAGTGCTGGAGGCTGGGAAGTCCAGGATCAAGGCACCCGCAGATTTGGCTTCTGGTGGTACCCAGCTTCCTCATTTATAGATGACCTTCTTCTTTTGTCCTCACCTGGCAGAGAGAGAGTTCTAGTCTCTTCATCCCCTTATAAGGGCACTAATCCCATCATGGGGGCTCCACCCTCATTACCTCCTAATCACCTCCCCAATGCCCCTCTTCCTGATACCATCACATTGGGGATTAGGCTTCAACATATGAATTTGCGGGGGGGCACATACATTCAGTCCATAGCACTTACCTAAGGGATCTTTTCCTCCTTTGCTTAATATCCTGTGATCCTCTTCATTGGCCACAGAATGACTTCCAACTCCTGTAGTGGGATGTAAAATATCCTCCACAACAAATTCCTCCAAGTCACACACAAGCTGCCACTCCTAAGGGACTGTTCACTGCCCCTTACTCATCATTCTCCCACCATCCCCTACATGGTCCTCTTCACCCTCTTTATCCTGCCTTACAAATTGTACACTCATCCTTCAATGAATATTGGTAAATGTGTGTTGCTTATATCCTACACTTAAATTCAACATTTAATAATCAAAAGGTTTTGAGAAAATTTAGAGTAAACCTTAAGATATGTGTTCAGTGATACATTATTATGGGTTTCATGACTTATAGTAATTATGCTAATAAGAATCATTTAGTGAGCCTCCCGCAGTGGCAGGAGGGAGAGTTAGCTTTCCCAGTGGGGCTCGGCCTCACATCTGTCTAACCCCAAGGCCAGCGTGTCACAGATCTATATTAGGTGTAATTCACCACATGTGTGCATGGTGGATTCTACGTAGAAATCTGACAGCATTTTAGTCATGTTTTAACTATATAACATAATCTTCCTCTCTATTTGTGATCACACTAGTACAGACTCTTTGCTGTAAAGAATACAGAGCACCAAATAGATATCAGCTGGTTCAAGATGAATGATTTCATTTGCTAAACAAATAACTATTAGGGTAAAGGCGCTATTTTGATTCTGACAAAACCATTGGTAAACATAGTTAATGAAACTTCTGTTGTCACAAACAGACTTTTCAAAATTAAGGGTAAAAGTATGTGAGGGAACGAGATGCGTCTGCCCTCTGCCCAGTTAGAGCTGGGAAGATGGTGACAAACTAGAGATTGGAACACAGGGAAGATTTGGGGTGACGTAGGAAAGGGTATGTGTTCTGCCGACATTGCAGATTATGGAGAAAGTTAAAGGAAAGACAGTATGCTCAGTGAGGTATGAGTTTGAATCTGAACCATTTTGTACCGTTCTGTGTAATAAGGGACTAAAAGAGGAACTTTTGCTTTAGTTATTTGTGGACAAAGCATGAATGGCTTGTTATGAAAGCTACAATACTGCCGTTAACCGTGGAAACTGGGATCGTGTCTTGGGGAATGGATGGACCTCTTGGAGCCCGTGGCAATTTGCAGAGAATGAGACATAATCCATCTCCCAAGGGCTTTCCATGTCCTACCCAGTCCACCTTTGCTGTTCAAATGGAAACATAGGTCACTTTCCAGCTGTGCTTTTATTCTGATGAGTAACATCTGTTTTCATTTGTCTGACATTACTAATTTAGATACACATGGCTTTGGGAGAATGATGGAAACAGGGCTAAGGGGTAATTGCAGGAAGGGAAGTTTAAACAGAGTGTGAACTTTTATTGTTTTAAACCAATAAGTCCTAATGAGTTAAAAAAAAAGTGAAGTGAACTAAAGCATACATGAGCCTAGTGGAGTCATTTCTTTCTTTTTATTTATTTATTTGTGTTCTATAAAGGATGCACAAGCCAGGCACTTCAAAAAAACAAATGTCAAAGTGTGTTCCCCTTTCTGAGTAATTTGCATGGCTGTAATGGGTCCTGAGGCTGACAGACCAACAAGTAAGTTTCAATGTGAACAGAAACACCGCCGCTCTTAAATACACACAAAGGTCAGATGGCGATTCGCACATCTCCTTTGGCTTTCATGGCTATTTGAGATTTAGATACTAATGAAGTGCTGCACCTTTTGATTCAGGATGTTGAAGAAGGATGCCGTGTAACTCTCCTCTCTCTCATTCTTCCAGCGCTGCGGCTCCTGAAGGAGGGGGCCGACCCGCACATGCCCATGTCTTCAGGAGGGACCCTGCTCCATCTGGTAAGAGCTGTGATGACCGGGTGAGCGTGGGTGACACCAGGTGGAAGGGGAACCAATTAGGGGCTCCAGACTCAGTAGCAAAATGCACGTGTAACTGATGATGATCAGAACGATGATGTGTTTCAAGTTAACAGGCTTGGATAATGATACATTAATATTTGTTAATTACTCACATTATAGTTTGTAAATAATGGAGTTCAAGTCTCTGCCCTAAAGAAGATGCTTTTGAACATGAATAGTATTCAACAAATAAGCAAAACAATGTTGTATCAATTATAGAGCATCAGGCAGCCATCCTTTCTTTTACTTTGACATCCTTTCTTTCACTTTCTTTATTGATCCAATGAGCTATTACTATTCTCTGCTTGTGGCCCAGATCGTATAAATGTGACTAAAACTTTACTACATTCTTTTGGAAACAAGCAGGGAACGATTAAGTGAATAAACAAGTAACCACATAAACAAATAAATACAGTAGTTTTACATGCAAGAACTTTTTGCTGATTCAGTTAAGGGCAAAAATGAAGTAAAAGGGGATGTCAATAATTATTCCATTTAGTGGTCTTCAGGGCTAATTTAAAGCTTAAAACTTGATTTTGAAAAATGCCAAAATTAACATAACATAAAAGCCTAATTGAGAATTGTCTACCAATATTTAAAAAATGCTGTATTTCCTCACATTAGAGCAATCCATGTTAAAGGAGGTCACGCATCGATCTGATGGAAGCTCCCTAATCTGGTATTGGGTCTCAGCCTTGTCTGCCCCCTGGCATCACCTGGGAGCTGTAAGATGTCAGTGTCTGCCTCCCAGCTCCCCCCGCCCCAGCCTGGAGATTCTGACTCAATTTTTCTGGGATGCAGATGGAACATCGGGGTGGGGCACAGCTCCCCCAGGTGATTCTAATTTACAGCCAAGGTTGAGAACCACTGCCAACGAGAGAACCTTGTGTCTGCCCAAGACTGGAGGCATCTGGGGTGCAGGCAGTCATATGCGTGCAGAGGAGTGGAAAAATAACTCCGAATATTGATGGGGAACACCATAGAAGAACGTCAGCCATTTCTCTCCAGCATTGATTGAGATGGAAAGAGAGATTTCTGGATTCCCTTTTCCTTCTCTGGAGTGTTTTGGTTTTGAAACCTCTCTCTTTTCTCCTCCGATCGTTACATAGCTTACCTGACATTTTCAAGGGCTCATTAGTCCTGGATCCTAGGTTTGGTTTTGACAAGCAATCTTAGACTAAGGACATGCTGTGAACAGCTTTCCATAGATAAAGATTCTCCTCTTGGTCACTGTCTTTGGAATCCTTACCAGGAGGTGCAGTACTTTATTAGGTAAGAAGCTGAGAAATAGAAGAATTAAGCTCACACAGTAGCAGATAGTACTGGAGCTTAAACTCTGACCATCTAACTATAAATACTGTAGTCTTTCCCCAGTAAATTCCCCAGTGATACCTGGATTAAGTTTTCAGACAGCAAATTATTCCAGTTGGGCTAGTGGAAGACAGACCTTTGCTTTGAACAAGTCATGTCAGTTCATTGTTGGTATTAACCAGGAATGTAATGTATTCTTACCCTGTGTGTGTGTGTGTGTTTGACGGAAAGAGAGAGAAAGGAAGAGAAGTATGGCCACTTCTTCATATATTGGATTGGCCAAAAAGTTCGTTGGGGCTTTTTCTGTAACATCTTACGGAAAAACCTTTTTGGCCAACCCAGTATATGATGTATCCAACTTTAATGAGCACCTAAACCTCAATCTTCCCAGTCAGCCGAGCAGCGGTTGCTTCCTTCACCTTAAATACAGCCAGAATGCTGCCGTCCCTCTTCACCTGGATAAACCACCCTCCCTCTTCCCGGGACCAGCAGCTTCTTCCCTCACCTCCCCGGCCCCGTCCCTGTGGACCCTACAGTCTGTTTCTCCCACAGCAACCAGATCGTGTCACTCCATCAAAATGCCCCAGGAACTTCCCTTCCCACTCAGGGCAAACGCCAGAGTCCTGCAACGGCCGCGTGGAACGTGCCCACACCTTTGTGCCCTCATCTCCAGGGACCCCCTCCTGCTCTAGCTGGTCCTCTAATATGCCCACCATGCCCCTGCCCATGTGCTTTCACCATTATTTCCACTGGAACATTCCCTTGCCGAAATCTGCATGGCTCACTCCCCCGCTTGCTTCGCCTCTCTGCTCAAAAATCATCTAACAGAACAACCTTCCGGGGCTTGTCCCAAAGGATACGGCAGCCCATTCCCACCACCCCACCATCAGCTCAGCTTTTATCCGGTTGTTTGTCTCATTCCTTGTAACACAGTTGCCACCAAACAGATCATAGGCTCAGGTGATTATGTTCTGTTTCCCAGACTGCCAGCTCCAGGAGGGCTAGGACTTGGCCTCTCATCACTGTTATATCTGCAGCACTTGGGAGAGTGCCTGGCACTTAGTAGGTGCTCAGTAGATTGTCTGGTAGGCACATGAACCCGTTAACTACTTAATTAATTAATATATAATGCTGTGATAGCTATTAGGGGTGCAAAGATGCAAAACACAGTCTAACAGAGTTTAGTTTTCTGAGGGAGAAAGAAAAATAAACCATGGATTACAGCAGACCTGGAAGCAGGATAAGCAGGTGATAGAGAAAGAGGAAAATGATGAAACCACTTGGCCACCTTCAGAGGTAGTTCTGAAGCCTTTTCTCATGTTCCTGATAAGACTGAATTACTCTTGTATCTAAGGTCTCATGACACATGATCCTTGCTTCTGCTGTCGATCTTGTCACAGTGGATTGTAATTAATGGAGGATGTGCCCTTTTTCTCTGCTGCTAGACTGAATTTTCAGAAACTGTGATGTCTTAGATACTTTTATATCCTTAGCATGTGATGCATGGTAGATACTCAACACATCATAAATGAATGAATGAATGAGTGGATGGATAGATGAACTGTCAGAATATAAGGATCTTTTTGGCTAATGAGAAGGTCCAGGTAACCGAGTCTAAAGGCAGTAGAGTCAGAAGAAAGAAGAAATGAGAAGATGAAGGTGATGAGGTAGATGGGAAGTGCTGCATTAGCTCTGGGTCCAACGCAAACACACTGCATTTTTATACTGTTAGACTTTGTGAGACTAAGATAAAGTGGCTTTGAAACCGGAATACATGTAAGTAAACTTCCTGACGGCTACAGGAATGTGGGCTCAGCACTGAGCCTCCTTTTCCCAGGATTACTGGGGAAGGGTAAGCTGGGACAAAGCGAGAGAGTGGCGTGGACATATATACACTACCAAACGTAAAATAGCTAGCTAGTGGGAAGCAGCCGCATAGCACAGGGAGATCAGCTTGGTGCTTTGTGTCCACCTAGAGGGGTGGGATAGGGAGGGTGGGAGGGAGGAAGACACAAGACAGAAGAGATTTGGGAACATATGTATATGTATAACTGATTCACTTTGTTATACAGCAGAAACTAACAGACCATTGTAAAGCAATTATACTCCAATAGAGATGTTTAAAAAAAAATGAAAAATTGCAGGTTGCCAGAGAGACAAAATTACAGGGTTTCAAAATTCCTTAGGTACTGAAAAAGGCAATTTCGCCCTCAAAAATGTAAAGTGTGAGCAGCTCTGTGCTCACCCCACCTCTTGGGCATCCTGCAGTGTGAAGCCTGAGGCTTTATCAGCGCCGAAGCTCTAATTACATAATGTTAGAGCAGCGTCTTTGAGAAAATGCCATCGTATGCGCATGCAGGGCATCAGGAATAAACTGTGGAAGTCGTTGAGATTCCCCAGAGTTTCGCTTGTTTAACTCAGTTATTATTCACTGAGCACCTCACTGTAAGTGGAGGTCTTGGGAAGACTCCTGGTAGAAACGCCACAGTAACATTTAAGTTGGAGATTAATAATTCCCTCTGTATTAAAGGTAGACAATTGACAAACAGGTTTTAATATTTTTTCATCATATACAATCTGTAGTTTTATCATCTTTTAAAATAAACTTTCAACAGTAAGTCTGAATTTGCATGTTTATCTACTCTTCATTCAATAATTTATGAATCAAGTGTATCGCAAGTATCAGGTACCATTAGAGGGGAAATAATGCCAACAAGTAACAATATCTGCACCCTAGGATTTTAGTCTCTGTGAGGGCAATATAGAAAAAACGCAGCTGTAACTCTTTGGAAGGAACAATGCCATGTATGGAGTTGAAAACAGAATCACATGGAACTTTGCTAAAATGCTGTCCAGAGTTTTACATTATGACTTTTCATACATAAGCTATGAAGAAGGAGCTCCTGGTTGTAAGGAAACCCTCCTGCATGGAGTATGCAATGCGAGTTCTTTTGATTCTGTGCTGTGACAGCAGGAGACCATAGTGAAGCTTAAGTGAAATACATTAGAAATAGGAAAATCTTCTTTCTTTTACCTGGTGAATTTTCATTTTAACATAAAGGCAGGCATTTAAGCAGTGGAGTTCCACATCACTGATGAAAACAAGCTGCATTGGATGTGCAAATATGCCCAAGATATTTGGTAAATGTCACAAGCAGATTAGAGAATAGTATATATGTTACACTCAAGACAGGTAGACATGGTGGCAGGGAGGAGAGCAGAGAATCTTTTCAACAGCTGTGAAAATCTTGAAGAATAGACAAGGAATTTTTAACAGTGACAGTTTGGGGAGGAGACAAGATCTCATTTTTTACTCTTTTACATATAGCTTGAATGTTTTAAATAATAAGCATGTATGTTTCACATAATGAAAGAAATTACACTGTCGTGGGCCCGGGGTTCAGTCCCTGGTTGGGGAACTAAGATCCCACGAGCTGTGCGGCATGGCCAAAAAAAAGATGAAAATAAAACAAATGAAACAAATTAATACAAAATACTTCTTAGAACTATGTTTTCTTTAGAAGCTTAAATTCTAAAAGTTTCGATCACTATTCTATTCTTACAAGAATATCTGGGTCTCCGAATCGGGCTGTTCTTCGGGCTTTCTTCAGACTTCTCTGAAGTCTCAG